TTATAATTAATAATAATAATAATAATAATAATAATAATAATAATAATAATAATAAACTAACTAATTTTAGTGTATACATATTCTATACATCTTGGCATTCGATCCAAGATCCAATTGATTTTTTTTTTCTTCGACTTTAAAGGTTCATCAGGAGGGAGGGAGGGGGGGGGGGGGAAGAAAGAAAAAAATGAACATTTGTTTCACTTGACTTGACAAAAAAAAAAAAAAAAAAAAAAAAGTGTCACATTAATTACACCCTAGAAACAGCCAGGGAAGAAGACAAAGGTGTTTCTTCCGAAGAAGTTAAATGAGACTCAATATATATATCCATTGTCTGATCCCTTTTCACGATTTCATTATTTGTAGTTTCACTTCCATTTTTCTCCTGCAGGAAAATTTTGAAAATTAAAAATGCAATAATTAAATTTTTTTTTATTTTTTTCATGCGAGCGCTATTTTTTTTTTTTTAATTAATTTTTTTTTTTTTAGAAATGCGTAGTGCACCAAAAACCAAGGAAGAAACTCACGTCAACAATTTCGTTTTTCGATTTCGTTGACAATTTATTTAAACAATTTCCATTTTCCGACTCTTGATATTCTTTTTCCCTTTTTGACAATTCCTAAAGCAAAATTAATACGATTAAATAAACATTTTGCAGAGAAAATAATAATTTTCACAAAAAAAAAAAAAAAAAAAAAAAAAATTTTTTTTTTCATACACTAATATTTTCACTAACATTTTCCTCTTCTTCTTCGTTTGTCTTCTTATTTTCATTTTCTTTCACAATCGATTTCGTTGAATTATTATTATTATTATTAACCCTTTGTCCTGCTGAACTCGAATCCTTTTCCGTTTTATACGTTTCACTTTTTCCATTCATTAAATTATTATTATTATTTTTAACTTGGGTTATATCGTCTTGCGATTTTACTTTTTTTTCCGGATAATTGAAAGCCGGCATTCTGTACACCCAATGTTCGCTAGAAACTGTAATCATGCAAAAAAAAAAAAAAAAAAAAGCGTATAATTAATAAACAATTAACGATAAAACTCTACTTCCGCCATATTGAAATTGAAATTAATTTGTTACCCGACGAACTTGTACTTGCTGAAGAACTAACGGAATGAGTGGGAGGATTATTTAGGCCTCTTTTTTGATAAAATAATATGTACGCTGAATTCGTAATTAAATTAGTTTCAGGAACCGGTTCAACTTTTGTGTCATCAAAAGAATACCATTGACAATCGAAAGGATTTCGACAGTAAGCTGAAAGGTATTTACAATCGTGAGCGAATTGGGTGAGTTTAAATTTAATAATTTTAATTAATTTAATTGGGTTGAAATTTTACCAGTGTAATGTCCTCCTTGTAAATCTTGACCGTGATGATTACATATCGCATACAAATCGTAAACATTATCATCATAACTTGTCGTTCTTTTAGGTTTTCTCCACGGACTCCACAAAGTTAAAGAATTATTCGATTCCCTTTGGGGTCCTACCAAATGAGCATTCATATCGAATCCGTAGAGAGGAAAATCTATGAGCATCATCACTTTAGTTGCTGAACGATTTTTACAGGATTGCTAAAATTTTACACAATTATAATTTTTATTTTTATTTATTTATTTTTTTTTTCGGGAAAATAATTTCTAAAAAAAAATTTTATTTCACCTGTCGAAATCTTTTCAAATGAATAACTAAAATATCTGGTAAAGACCAAAGTCCTAATTTTTTAATAACTTCTTGTTTTCTATTACAGAAAGGACAATGCCATTTATCATCGGCACCTAAAACTTCCGCCTTCGTATATAAATCAAAACATTCTTCCAATGTTGCAGAATCACCGGTTCCCGATTGAAAAAGTAATTGTTTCACCGAGGAATGCTCTTCGATGAAATCACTATCATCAGCGATGGTACTAAAATTAAAAAAAAAAAAATGTCGTCAACAAATCATTTTTTACCAAATGATATAAAAAACTAATAAAAAATATTCTTACCTTTCTTTGGCAGCCAAATCCCATTCTAAAACCAATTTGAGATGACTTGGACCTGAATCTTCATCTAGTAAAGCTAAAGCTTGATCTATTTCTTCCATGTAAAGTGGATGATCAACAGTGGGATCCAGAAAGGATGCTGCGGACTATTACACAAAAAAAAAAAAAAAAAATCGAATCAGCACAATTATTAAGGTAAGCAATTTGATTTTTTTTTTTGTTACTTTGAAAAAATTACCGAATAATATAAAAATAAAAAAAATTTGACCTTAAAAAATTTTTTGACGGAGTTTTCAAAAAGTTTACTTAAAAAAAAAAATAAATAAATAAATAAATAAATAATAAATAAATAAAAATGTTTTTTTTTTTTTTTTTTTTTTTTTTAACAACAAAGTATCGAATTTTTACTTATTCGGGGTTTAAAAAAAATAAAAAAAATTTATGCTTCAATGACAAATTCCATTAGATATTAAATTACAAATATATTTTATTATTATTATTATTGTGCATCGACTTTTAAGGCATGATCGTAAAATTAATGTACCTCCGCACCAACTCCGTCGACGATTTTTATACGGAATAAAGGTATATCCTGATCTGTTGTTAATATTTCATCGTGCAATATCGTATTCATTTCCTTTAGTATTAATTTTTGTATATCCTTATAAGAAGTTAAACGACACAATTGCATGGTGTAAGGACTTCCGAATCTAAATTTGAAAAAAAAAAAAATACAATTAAAACTATTAATTAAAAACCATGAGAAGTTAAAAAAAAAATTTTCTTTTTTCTTTCATTAACCTAGAACTGTGATCGTCCATTGTTAACACGTTGACCCAACATAACAATATATATTTTTCCATTTCTTCGGAAGCATCTTTCAACTGTGGCGTTTCTATACAATACACGGGATCCGTTTCTTTTATTTCCGATATTGGAAGCTGACCTGAAAAGGTTCTTTGAAAACCTAAATCATCTATTTGCGTCAAAAGCATACACGATTCCGGTATACTGGTATCGGAAGAGAGCTGTTCCCGTAGTTCGCTTACGGTAGAATTTTCATTGAGAGATAAACCCAATTTTACCTAAATAAAATTACCAACCATATTTAAAACATTTTTTTTCGTCTTTCTTTCTTTCTTTTTTTCAAAGAGTTATAATTTTTTTTTTAAAGAACACAAAAAACACAAGATGAGATTTTAAATGAACCAATTTGTGACATTGCATAATGAATATATGTAAATAGCGAAGGACGAAAATTGAATTAGTTATGCGATTCAACCGACATATTTATGCTACTAACGACTACTTCCTTTTTTGCTACAAAAAAAATTTTTTTTTTTTCTATCTTAGTCTCGGAGAATAAATTTTTTTTTTTTAAATGACAACAAAAATTAATGTGTAATCAAATAGTAGTATCTAATAATATAAAATTACCTTTTTCCATGTCAAATTTCTAATTAATGGCTCGAGTTCAGCCGTAAACGTAATAGTTTTTAGTTTTTTTTAGTTTTTTTAGTTTTTTTTTTTTTTTTTTTTTTTTTTTTATTACGAAGAAATAAAACTTGAGGAAAGGCTGAAAGGATAGACGAGGTTCAAGGGCCTAAAATTTAAATTCATCTCACAGTTGCAGTTGCATTATTATTATTATTAATTAATATTAATTATTTTTTTTTTTTTTTTGTCATAGGAAACATACCTGTCTGGGCTGCTGTGATAAATACAAAACGGTAACATAAATAGGCCGTTTTTGATTGTGTGGCATAGGCACGGAAACACAAAGAAATGGATCGAATGTATTGCTTTGACGTTGACAATTGAGACACGTAAGGGAACTCCTAAATTGAGCTTGGAAAACGGCATGAACAAAACTATTGTTGCACCTAACGTGATTGGCTAATGTTTCTTTGGCAACTTCTTCATCTGGACGATCAAACGAACTCTAAAATCAGGTACAAAAAAAAAAAAAAAATTTCTATTTACTTATTTTTTTTCCCCCGTCAAACATTGATAAGCAAATAATAACAAATATTGGCATTTAAAAAATTATTTGAAAACAAAAAAAGTTAAAAATTATAATTACAAATATTATTATTATTATTATTCATACATTTTTTTATTTGTTTTAAATCATCACGTAAATGTAAAATCATTTTGTAAAGAAGCCAATAATAACAAATAACGTGAAAAAATTTTTATTTACTTTATTTGCCAAAATATTAATTTTAAACAACCATCAATGTAAGTAAGAGTTTCAATCATTTGTCATTTTAAATAAAAATTTAAAACATAACGTCATGTGATAATAATAATAATAATTATTATCATTATTTTTTAATCTACTTTAACGTAACAGTAATTATTAAAAAATGCGTAACCGTGAATCATATGTAAATAAAATATTTATTATTGGAGCAAGTTATGATGTTGAAGATCAGATTTTACAAGAGAGAGAGAGAGAGAGAGAGAGAGAGAAAAGGCGATGGAAGGGTTAGCAAAACATAAAAAATTTTGACTTTAGTGACTTGGACAATATAAATCATATAAAAATGACACAATTAAATATAACGCCCTTGGCATGGTTTAAACTCTTTCAACGGGGGGACTTAATTAGATGCATTCCCTCATTTACATTGTCAAGCAAGGAAACAGTGAACCACTTTTAACACTGACTATAAAAAATAAAAGGTTTGCAAACAAAACAATTACTAACTTCCTTCCTGTTGAAAAAAAAAAATAATAATAATAATAACAAATATTTATGCATGACATTTTGTGGTTGTATTATTATTATTAAAAAAAAAAAAAAAGTCATGAAAATTCTAATATAAGTTTTTTAAACTAACTGTCAAAGTCACATGCTCGAACAATACTCTCTAATTTATGCAAATTTTAAATTCTTGACATTTTAATTAGCATTTTATGAATGTTCATTAATTTTTAACCTAAACCCTAATCTAAATTATCACCTAAACATATAAATCGTTTAAATTTCATTTTCTCGTTTTTCAAAACATCATTTCATATAAAATCTTATTTTAAATATGTGTATTTATATATAATCATATAATATGACATACATAAGGTTATTTTTTTTAATTTTTTTTTTCATGATACCACCTTAAAATTTGTTTAACATTTATGCTACCATTAAATTAATAAAGAAGGTCACTTCAATTTTCTTTATTGTACTTTTTTTTTTTTTTTTTTTTTTTTTTTGCAAAAAGATTACAAGACATATTAATTTTAGAAATGTAATAAAGCAACATTTAAGTATGACACAGAATAAATATTAACAGTTATTGTTTTCAAAAAAAATTATTTTTGGCCACATATTATTCTATATAGTAGAAATTTAATGTGAATGAACTTAGAGAGCAGTCATTATACAACATTTATTAATAATTCTGTAAATTTTTAATAAAATATTATTTCATTGTGCACAAACATTTAGAAAATTAATTGTTATTATTTAAATGTAAAAGTAAATAAACACATACTTTATTAGCTTTATAGTTCTTCTTTGTAGCTGTGTTTAAATCTTCGTGAACTTTATCCAATAACCAAATTAAAAATTCCTGAGCATCATGCTGATTATTACCACAATATTGTGTTCCATATTTATCCACTATTACTTTAAATTGATTAGATATATCTGGATTATACTGACAGTGCCAAACAGATTTTAAAAGTAATGCTAACTGTTCTGTAACTTCGCCTTTTGTTCCATATTTTTTCGATGTCAATTTATTTCTCCTTGTTAAATCTGCTTTGTATTGGTTCATAACAAAATATTCAGCTAAACAATCTGTGTGAGTTAAACATTGTAAAATGGCATTTATAAAACAAGTATTTCCATGGTTTCTTAATCCAATTACACCTGGCACTTTATCAGCAGGGAATGTTAACTTAAAGGGAGGCACACGTAAATCGTTATCTGATATAAATAAATCTGTCCTATTTAAATCAGCACATACTGTTTTATTACTCACAATTATACTAACTTTTTTAATCACTTTTTTCCAAACTTTTTTTATAGAAGGCGTCCTAAGTAATTTTGAATTATCATTATCAAAACCTGTTTTCGAATGACTTATTTGAGAATTCAGTACAACTTGATTGATTAAAGATTGACTTGGGGAAGCAACTTTGGGCACTATTGAATTTTCTTTATTGTTAATTTTCACCTTGCATTTTTTTCTAGTACTTAATCGAAAAGGATTTCGAGGTAATGTAAAAGTGCGCTTTAATTTTGATTTCGTTTCACTTGGGTAATTGCTAAAATCATTTCGAAGTGTTAAACTAGAATAAATCACATCGTTATTGTCCGATTCGAGCAATTCACCATCCGAACTAGATTTCAATATGTGATTTAACGTATTTTCAGACATTTTTAACAAAAATTATGTAATTATAACAACTAAATTACTTTTTACTTAGAAAAAGACTAACACAATATTCACAACACAAATGCAAGCCGCCATTTTTGTTAACTCACCGCTTGTCCTTCTTTTAACAGCAAACGTTTCAACTACAACGTATTATTTGAGCAAAAACTACTTTTAACAAAAATTAATTTCATTAAAAGCCGATAGAGAACTCTAGTTGACGGTTTTCTAATGTGTCGTTAAAATTACAAAAATGTGTTTCAATTTTTTTCCAACGGTTTTTTTAAAAATTTAGTTTAATAAGTTCGAAATATTTAAGTGCTTTTTAAAATATAACATATTTGCATAAAAGTTTTCGAAAAATTAACATTTATTAGGAATTTAATGGAAAAATACTGTTGTTCATCACAATACTGGTAATTATACTTTGATTACGCCATTGTTCTAACAAGTTTTTCACAAAATTTGGCGGGTTTTTATGATTTTACTACCATAGGGTTTTATTTAACAATTATCAAATTACATATTGAAATTAAGGTTTAAAAAAGAAGAACTAAACTTTTATCTTCTTTCGAGTAATAAAAAAAATGTCTTTTCATGTATATATTTCTATTTGCAAGACATAAGATCTAAACTGCTCTGAAAATGTACTGTTTTATTCCCCCCTACAATTTCTTAATTATGTAACAATTAAATAAAATAATAATTCTTAAAATTATGAATCATTTCATAATTTTTGCATTTAACTTATGTGTTGATATTTTTCTCAGAATTTTTCTGGCCACATTCAGTAAAAAGTGTATTATTGATAGGTTAAAATAAAGTTTTAGGTTATAACAAACTGTAGATTGGTACAAATCTCAACAGGAAGAATCACAACAAAATCACTAACAAACTAATTATTTTATTTTTCTGTGGATTAATATAGCTTTTAAGAATTCATAATTCTTAGGAAAAAATTTGTCAAAAACCAATATTTTACTCAGATATCAAATTTTCACGTTTTATCCTAATATTTCCAAATATCTTATCGATTTGCACATGAGTACAATCCTTTTACTCGTGTACTTCCTACCATTTTATTCAATTTTTCCGCCATTTTGTCAAAGTCACAAATATTTTAACTTGATTAAAGGCCTGTTGTTTTAATTCAAGTTTTTATTTAATTTATCATTAATATCATTTCAAAATTCTTTTTTCTTACATTCTTACTTTATATAAACTTTGATTAATTATCTACTTTTAATTATTATTATCTACTTGTTGATATTCAATTATTATAAATAAACTGGAAATCTAACTGGGTAGTTTTTCCCTTGCTTATATCTTTATGTAATAGAGTTACATGAAAAAACTTTATCTGAATATTTTTCCCTTTGTACCTTTTATAGAGTTGCTTATACGTGAATGTATAATTTCTTTTTATGTAGATTTTTAACATCTTGATTCCTTTTATCATGACATTAAAGTTAAAATTTAAAAAAATTTCTTTTACATTTTTCCATTTTAGTTTGGAAACAATCAAAATTTTTAGGATTTAGTATTTTCAAAACAGTAACTCAAACCTTTTTAACCCTCAATCCTTTTCAATAACAGTCACTTTTATTTTAATAAATGTACTCTATAATTTACTTAATTTTCAAAAAAACCCCTTCTTTGTCCTTCATCATACCTGCCCTTGAAACAAATTTTATTAAAAAACTTTCTCTTTATTTTGTTGCTTTTAATATATATATGTATACATGTTCAGACAAAACTTTCAAATTGAGCTTTACTTAAATTACATATTAAAATGTACCAGACAAGATCAACATGGATCTCAAACCCAAAATATGAATATGAACATTAGGAAAAGTTAATTTATTTATGAAATTTCATTTTGGAAATCTAACCCAGATGAAAACATTCTATTTTGGCACACTTTTATTTCATCCGCATTTATTTACATCCTTTCATGTATTGATTGTTTTTTTTCCCCTACTTACTCCTACTTCTATCAGATCCTGTATGATAATATTTTTTTAAATATTTTCACCATGATTCCAGACTAAAATGTTTGTTGAGAAAGTACCAATAAATTTTTTTTAATAAATTTACAAATTAATCATATTCTTAATATTATAATGTAGCAAACAAGGTGAAAAACAAAACAAAGGAAAAACCCAATAAATTTAATAAATTTTTATTACTATCATATTTTATTTTGCTACCATTTGATAATGTAAAATAAAATAATAAATAAATTTATTGGCAATGAATTATTTCAATGGGTATTTAATAAATTTTTAATTTAAAAAAATTTTTACTTTTTACTGTTTTTTATTTATTATAAAAAAAAATATGTATTACGTATCAAAAAAAATTTCACTTTTATTTAAATTACAAAATGATTTTTTCGCATATTAAATTACTAAATTTATATGTTGTAAAGATTGTTTACAAATTAAAAAGATACCACATTCATTCATAACAGGAATGTAACAAGATGAAACATCACATATTAAATGCGTATATACCAATTATTTTATATAACTATAAACCGTGAGCAATCGATATTACATTCTATATAAAATACAAGTTTCCTTTGTAACATCATCCCGTTCGTAAAATAATAATAATAATAATAATAATAATAATAATATTAATAATATTTTTTTTTTTTTTCAATTCAGGAAAATGGTCGTCGTAACAAGAACATAAAAACGATGTCGTAACACAGCCCTGATTTGTTTGTAATTCTGCTTAACATACAAATAAGGTAAGTTTTCTTTTAAAGTTTTTAACTATTTTCGCGAGGAAAAGGTTTAAAAAAATGAAAGGATTAAAAATTTTAAACGGGTTTTAATTAATGATCGACACACTTAAAATAATAATGATAATAATGATAATATTATTTAAGCGAAACGTAAATGAAAAAAAATTTAATCGAGAGTCATCTCATAATTTTATTTTTACGCATTTAAGCAAATATGTTACGTAATATAATAAGCTAATAAAAGAGAGAAAGAAAAGGAGAGAGAGAGAGAGAGAGAGAGAGAGAGAGTTGTTTATGTGTATAATAAATTTATTGTGCAGGTAAGGTTTCCAGGTGGGGCAGTTAATAAATTTAAAAAAAAAAAAAAAAACGGTTAACGAGTTGATATTTTAAATTAAAATACAAATCTCTCTCTCTCTCCCCCTTCTTCCCCCTTCTCCCTCTCTCTCTCTCTCTCTCTCTCTCGAAAAAAAAGAAAATACATAATAAAATTAATTATTTAACTGAAAAAAAAAATTTAATTTTTTATCAAACTGGAGAAAAAAAAATTTTTTATTATTCCAGAATTTTTTTTTTTTTTTTAATTCGACAGGTATAAACAACTTTTACTCGTTTAACTCGATTTACTAATGTTTACCCTCAAACTATTATTATTATTAATTTTTTTTTTAGCATTCGCAAGGTTGCATACATTCAACCTAGATTCATATATTATCAAAACAAAAAACAAATTATTATTATTATTAATTAAAAATCTTATTTTAAATAATGATAATGATAATAGCAATAGCAAAAACACATACTTGAAATGAGAAAAAAAAAATTTTTTTTTTTTTATTCTAAAAAGGCGTAAATAAATAAATAAAAAAAAAAACGTAGGATTTTTTTTTATTTATTTAAATAAATAGAATATTTTATAAACTCGACCGGATTTTAATTACTATGAATTAATTTTGATCTTGTTTTTACATTTTTTTTTTTTTTTACACAGCAATATGGCGTTTAGTTAATTTGAATTTTTTTTTCTCTTTTTCATGTCATTTAAAAGCAAAATTTATTATGTTAAAAAAAAGAAAAAAAATCCTTTTGTCAATAAAATAAAATAAGACGTGGGGGGTTTTTTTCCATTTTATAAATGATTCCAAAGGCTCACTTCTTATATGGGTTTTGAAATGATAACAACAACAACAATAATAATAATAATGATAATTTTTTACACAACCAACAAACGTTTTTTTTTTTTTTTTTTTGTTTTTCTTTTGTAAGAAATTATATACTTATATAAACGGATATGTTGAGTAAATGATTTTATTAACGTTAAAATTTATTTATTTGTTTACTTAACAAATTATTATTATTATTTATTTTATTATCATTATCATTAATATCATTATTGGCATGCTTTGATATGTAGGTTTTTTTTTTTTTTTATAATAAAAAAATTTACGTAATACGATTAATTTATTCGATAGAGTTAGAAATATTTATTATTAACAAATTAATTATTTTATTTATTTTTTGTTACCCCCCGGGAACGTTATCATTAAAATTCGATTAATTATAAATTTTTGACGTATAATAAAAAAAAAAAATTTACTTTCATTCGCGAACTAAAAATTTGAATTTTTAATAATAATAATAATAATAATAATAATAATAATAATAATAATAATAATAATAATAATAATAATAATAATAATAATAATAATAATAATAATAATAATAATAATAATAATAATAATAATAATAATAATAATAATAATAATAATAATAATAATAATAATAATAATAATAATAATAATAATAATAATAATAATAAATAATAATAATAATAATAATAATAATAATAATAATAATCAATATCGAATTATATTTAACGATACGAAACCATTTAATTATGAATTTTTAATTACATAGCATTTCAAAAAAAAAAAAAAAATGGCGTTTGTAAATTTATATATATATTATGAAATAACAAAAAAAAGAAAATTAAAATAAATAATTTTTTTTTTATTATAACCGGAAATAAATAAATAAATTATTTTGAGTAAAAATATTCGTCAAAATAAAATAATAATAAAATTTTTTTATTTTTCGTTCGTTATGAAATATTTATATTTATGTAAGATTATTCGTAAATTTTATTTATTTATTTTTTTTATTAAATTCGTAAAAAATATTTAATTAAATAAAAGAAAATGATGAAAACCTGTTGTTGTTGTTGTTGTTGTTGTTGTTGTTGTTCGAT